AGAGCAGTAACACCATTATAATCACCTCTATAAACAGCAGTAATAACATCTACAAAACAACAGGAATAACTTTAAAATAATCTCTATAACCAGCAGTAGAAACATTATAATAACAGCAGTAATACCATTATAATAACCTCTATATACAGCAGTAGTAACATTATAATAACCTCTATATACGGCAGTAGTAACAGCACCATACTGTGTGATTGGACTGATGGCCTTGGGCCTTCCTCCAGTTATCAGCCGAACTCTCCCACCCGAACCTGAACACAAGTGCTGAATTAAAAGTGTGGACTTACTTGTGAGTGCAGATATGAGCATGTTTCCATCCTTGATGAGGTCTTTGATAAACCTGTTGGTTCGGTCAAGCTCCACTTCATGGCACTGCAGCCGCTCTCTGAACTCGGGACTGTCCAGCAAAGAGTCGCTGAACTCCAGCGTCGGCAAACCCATCCGAACCTTCGGCACACACCGCTCACAGCAGCCAAGCAGACTTCTCTGTGTCCGGGTTGAGGCTCCTACCACATACCGCCTCGGAGAAACTCGGTCAGAAGTTTCTCCTGCTCCTTCCTCTCTTTCTTTTTGTTCCCTCTCTCTCTCGAAGAGAACTTCCGGGCGGACCCAGCAGAGATTCACCGCGAGCTTCTCCGTCGAGCTGTTTTTTTTTAAAGCCCTAAACTCAGTTTAAACGTCTATTTCAACCTCTGGTTCCTTTTAGGCTGAAAAAGAGCTGTACGAAGAGCTGTCGGTTATTTTAGGGCGCATGAAACCTGTGGTCGACCGGTGAAAAGCAAACTTTTCTTCACCTTTGGCTCTGATCGAAGGCTTGTTGCCATGGGAACGGGAGACTCCTGCTGGCGGGAAAAGAAATCGGAAAATCTGCCTAGTAACACATTCATAACAGAGGGGTTTAAAACATTATTATTAGGACAAAAATCTATAAAAGAATGAGATTTAATTCAGTTTTTTAGTATTTAAATGTTAGACTCAAGCTCTATCCTTTAAAGTCAGTTAAAATCAGTTAAAATTTAACCAAGTTTCAACAATAAAGGTTTTCATTTATTTAAAGTATTTATTCTAATGTTTTCAATTTATTTCAAAATATCTATATCTTCCTAAGTACATCTGTTTGGAACGCATTTAATCAGTCAAAAGTGGCTGTTTTTTTTTTTTAAGTGGTCACTTCTGTGCACACTGGACGGAGATGGGATAGAGGCAGGGCAGCCGACCCATTTCGTTCTACTTGGAACCCAAAAGTCCCAGTTCGATCCCCAACCATTCCCACGTGTCGTGGTGTCTCTGAGCAAGACACCTAATTCATAATTGCTCCCCAGGCACTTACATAGCTTCTTACTGCTCCACCTGGGTGTATCTCAGGTGCGATGGGTTAAATGCCGAGAACTAATTTTGCTATTGCATGGGAACATACAATGCTGACAACACATATCACTTTACTTATAATATTTTATATATATATATATGTGTGTGTGTGTAATCTTAAGGGGTTGTCACAGCGTGTCATCCTCCTACATCTTACTTTGTCCTCTACATCCTCTGTCCTCACTCCAGCTACCTCCATGTCCTCTCTATCTGAATCCATATATTGCCACTTAGACCTTCCTTTTTGTCTTTTTCCTGACAGCTCATTTCTAATAGCCTTCCACCAATATACCCACTGTCCCCCCCTCCTCTGGTCATATCCAAACCATCTCAGTCTGGCCTCTCTAACTTTACCTCCCAGATGTTCAACCTGTGCTGTACCTCTGATGATCTCATTCCTAATCTAGCCATTCTTTTCACTCCTAAGGAGAACATCAACATCTTCATTTCTGCCACTTCCAGTTCTTGGCATGACTGTCTCAGAGGAGTTGACGAGGAAGAGGGCGGGCCCCGGAGGCCATCTAAGCACCAGCAAACTGTTTTTTTTCCACTATGGGGTATACTGTTTGTGGGAATCAGTTTTGTTTGGTGGTTCTTCAGATTGAAGAAGTCCTTTGGATAAAGGACGAAACGTCTCAGCAAAAAAAAAACATCCAAATGACCTGACTGAACATTGTTGGATTTTATACCTGGATTATTGAGCATGAACTTGGGTCTGTTAGGATGGTTTCCATGGGAACACACTGGAGTGATATGAAGCATCACATTTCCTGAAAAAGAGACAAAAGTGGAAGTTGTGAGAAGAGCCGAAGTTTCAGCACTAAATGTCAGTTCAGGCGAAACTCCTGTCAGGAACCAATGAACCAGAGTGGTAATTTCAGCTGATGTTGTGACATGAGCTGAAAAAATTAAATAGAGATAAATGTCAGCTAAATAAATAAAAAAAAACATTACAGTATACTACTGTCAATTATTTATAATTAAGAGATAAATAAACTAAGTAAACATAAAATACATCAAGGTGAAGAAAGATAAACTAAATTCTTCTGAGTTAATTATTGGGTGTTGTTACTGTATTTCTACTTCACATATTGGGACTGGTTAGATCCTCTTACAACTCCCATATGTTTCAGAGCCACTTGTTCTCTAACTGTGGCCTTTATGTGCTATAGCACATGAAAAAAATCACCAACAAGCTGTTGAATTCTTCTGGTGCACAATATATGGACCAAAACGATGCACAGCACCAGCTCTGAACTTTAATGATGCTTTCCTCTTGGTGCCAAAACTGTCTGAAGTCAGTGGTGGGTTTGAAAATGAAATCCACAGAGCAGACGAACAAACTCTGGAGGAGCTTTGACAAAACTTCAGGCTTCCATATAATATTGTCAAATATGTTCTGGGACAGCCAATGTATGAAATGACAACTTTTATAGTTACAGGTATACAGTTTGGTGTAAATATCAGCATAAAGTGAATAAAAGATGAGGTTTAAACATAAATCTACAGAAAGACACATACAGTGACCTTTGACCTCAGTGCGAAAGGACATTCTCACTAATAAATACACTAAAAGTGTTTATCTGCAGAAAGCTTGAGACCGAACAGGCCCTGTAATGAGAGCACACAGAGCATTGCTGAGCGTCGGCCTAACACGCTGAGGAAACCTCAGAAAAGCCTCCGCTTACTTCTTCATTATGTTGGTGTTGGAGATGAAACACGGCCGTTCCTGAATCCACAAAGTGTGCACATACAGTAACTCGAGTCATCATTAGAAGTAACTTGTGTCAGGCTCAGAACCGCCTTCCTGCTCAAATGCATCGTGTTTGTTTATCATCTGGTACCAATCCAGCATTCACTGAAACTAAACCCCACAGTGGCTCATGTTTCCCTTTTAATGGGGCTGCCAGCCCAGATCTTGATCGCTCCCTGGGTGATCCTGCTGTTTTATTGTTGAAGTTGACTGCTGTGCCATTCACTGGAGGAGAATGGAGCACCATGACTACAGCTGAAAACACGTTTAAAAACAACTCCTCTCTCCCAGTGAGGAAGACAAACGCTGACTGCAGACTGAAATGCTGCAGACAGCTTCTGTTTTTTGATAAAATAGAATCTGGGATTTTCCATCCTACTTCTGGCCGACCCAAGAGGTTCAGAGATGAGGCCACAGATCCAGGAGTCAGAGAAAATGTTCTTTGAAAACACCCACCTTCTGGTCACTGCCATGGCTTCTTCTTGCAGGGTCGACCCTACAGTGCAGAGCCACCAGCCATGGCAGGTAAGACACTCACAGCAGATGTGTGTGATCTCCTGCAGTCAGTCCTTTTCAGCTTTAATGGACTGATTTATTATGTTTTCAGACTGCTTGTTGTTCTAACGGACCCCCTGCAGCAGGTCTCTGTCCTCTGGAAGAGTCAGTTCCTTTAACCACTATCAAATTAAATAAACCTTATTATCTGAACAACAAAGTCCTTGCTCAATAATCCAGTTATACAATCCAACATTTTTCAGTCAGATGACCTGACTGAAAAATGTTGGATTATTATCTGAACTTTTAAAGTAACATAAATCAGAATGTAGCCGTGGAAAAGGCTTTAAATGTTTGTGCCTCTGTTTGCAGAACTCCTTCTGTACCTGGACACACCTTTTAAATTGGAGACCACATCCAGCCTTCTGCTTCAGACCACCACAAGACCTGGGCCAGAGTTTTGCAGAACTCATCCTGTCAGATGTTTAACAGAAAGAGACAAACAAACCACATAATTTTTATTTGTTAGTTTTAGCAGGGGGCAGCATGGTGGCGCAACTGTAGAGCTGTTGCCTCTCAGTGAGAAGGTTGCCAGTTCAAATCCCGGTCCGGGGCCCTCTCTGGGTGGAGTTTGCATGTTCTCTCTGTGCATTCAAAAAGTGTTCAATACAAAAACTCTGTGCATGCATGGGTTTTCTCCAGGTACTCTGGTTTCCTCCCACAGATCAAAAACATGCATGTTAGACTGATTGGTAACTCTAAATTGTCCCTAGGTGTGAGTGAGAGAGTGAATGGTTGTTTGTCTCATTTGTCTCCATGTGTCCCTGTGATGGACTGGAGGCCTGTTCAGGGTGTCCCCCTGCCTCTCGCACAGTGATTGCTGGACATGGGCACCAGCGACCCCCGTGACCCAAAATGGAATAAGCGGGTAAAGAAAATGGATGGATGGATGGAATAATCTGTTGATTTGTCCACTCCTGCTGTTTTCATCAATGCATTTGTTTAGTTGGTGCTGCCAAAGAACAATTTTATTGCTAAATAAACATTCACACCGTGTTTTCATGGTATTTCTTTTTCTGGATGTATTTTTTGCCATTTAAATACCTCTGTTATTTTTTCTATTCATACCTCAAAATGTCCAGCTCATTCAGGAGATGGGTGTGGCTTTTGGTTTTGGAACATTTATACTTTTTAAAATATCTGACTTTAGTTACAAATACTTTCCCCATGGAAACACAATGAGATATTTGTAATTCTTCCAAAAATATTGTTCTGCTTTTCTGTTCTTCTCTTTTGCTACTTTAATTTAATTTAATTTTTTAGCTCCTGTTCTGCCGCTTGTTACTTTTAACCAATTATCCATCCATTATCTTTATACGGTTCTTCCTTTCCAGGTCGCGGGGGTCACTGGTGCCCATGTCCAGCAGTCACTGTGCAAGAGGCGAGGTACACCCTGGACAGGTCTCCAGTCCATTACAGGGACACATTGAGACAAATGAGACAAACAACCATTCACTCTCTCACTCACCCCTATGGACAATTTAGAGTTACCAATCAGCCTAACATGCACATTTTTAGTCTGTGGGAGGAAACCAGAGTACCTGGAGAAAACCCACGCATGCACAGAGAGAACATGCAAACTCCACCCAGAAAGGTCCCTGACCAGATTTTGATCTGGTGACCTTCTTACTGAGAGGCAGCAGCTCAACTGCACCACCGTGCTGCCTTTTAGCCAATTATGTAATTTAATTTGGATTTAAGCTCTTTTTTTTTTTTTTTACCTAGTTTTAACTTTTAGCCTCCATTTTTGCTGATTTTGCCTTGTGCAATATTAAGCCTTTTAATAGCCTTTTGTTAATTTTAACTAGCCTTTCCCACTTTT